AGTGTTGCCATATTCATGTCCTTGGGTTCACCGATTTCTACATCTAAGTACCCATCTCCTGTCGAGATGAATGCCACACCAGAACTGCACTACTTTTCTAGTTTCCTAGCAGGACGAACAAAACTCTCCTGGTAACTTACGAAAGATAACTACTAGTATGGAGAGAATAACCTGCACTGTAGCTTGTACAGTGCAATATAGATATTTCCAACAACGCTAGCTATTATCATACTCTTATCGAAAAAGATCGTTAATGTAATTGGAGTCCTATCCGTGAATCACGGACCGTGATTGTAAAAACACTCATGTAGTGGAATAATTAGTGACACCTTAATATACAGAATGGGAATCACCGCAAAATTGTTAACCCTTTGGGAACTGAAGGCAACGGTTAATGGAGTCTATCTACAAGCGTACCCATAGAATCATCCACTTGCTTCGAGCTAAGCTTAGATTCCATACTTGCGTACTCTGCACAACTGCAAAAACACTACTACACCTTCTAGACATCGACTTCGTTTTTGGAAGTTCCAAATTGGGACCATCAATTTCGCCTGGAGGTGCGAAGTTGGAGGTGAGAATCCGAATTGGGAAGAACATTTTGCAATTAGAGTTTTTAGAATTAGAAATATTCGCGCAATTACGGTCTGAATATCAATCCTTTACCTAGAGCGCCTACAAGTTGTCGATGGGACATAATTTCGACATTATTTATGTCTTTACACATCTTCTAAAGCTCATATGACTATGAGAAATTCGCGTATTCTGCAAGTGCACGTACACACACATATTTTGCTGAGCCTGAATACTGTAGGTGTCTCACTTCAAGTCTCAACTTCAAGTTCAGCTGCCCACTTGTACGTGTTCAAGACACACTAATCAGAGCGTCCATTACGCCGACGGTAATCTAACGACCCTAGTAAACTCGAATGTTAAGAAGCATGGATGATCACCTGGACGTTTCCGTGTAGTTTCGGAGAACATTGCTGGTCCAGTGGAACTGGGACAAGCACCAACTAAAACTTTTGCTGTTCTTGTTGCTGTTCAGAAGCTAGATCTTTTCAAACGACTCGTTTGAGATTCTCATTAAATGATCGTAAAGTTTTTGTCAATTTCGGCTAAGATTTCGAGCGGTCACTATGTTACGTTTACCGAGGATTACTCAAAGCGCATTGAGAAGTACTCAATTGAACCGCACCTGTGTTGTCTCTATTTATTGCGCCCTGCCTCCATAAAGGTTGCGTGTCGCCAAGGGTGGGTCCTTCTTGCTGCACACTCAACCAATCCTTCAAAATATTATATCCTCCATATCTGTCCTACATTCAACCCCCTCAAACGACTCATCTCCCTCGTTTAACAGTGTTCTAGGGCTCAAAAACCGATGACAGCATCGACGGTGGTAGAGACACGTGAGTCACACGCGAACGAGGAGCTCCATACACTACAGGACATAGCTACTTCAAAACAAGCACATTTTCACCGTACCTCGACGCGGTGAACTATGCGACTTTCCATCCTCATTATCTACGGCATCATCTCGGTCTACGCCGAAGAAAGTGATGCTCCTCTCATACCAGGTCCGCTTACTAAGCCTCACGCCCCCCCTACTGTTGTATTCGAGGACCCACCCGACTGCCTACAGCATACTACGGATGTGAACGTCTGTCTGTATACGCTGAGGAATCACACTATGGTTCACATGGGCTCAACTATTGAGTCATTATATGGCAATAAACTCACTGTGGACTTCCAGGTAGACTCAACTTATCCTAGATGGGTGGGTATTGGTATTTCCGAGGCGAGCGGGACGTTCCTGGCTCATGAAGCTTTGCCAGATGGAATGAGGCTCATCATGGACTTTCACATCCCGTACTTCAGATTATTCAACATAGATTCTGTTCGGCCGGGGACGCTTTTTAAACAACTCCGCTTCAGAACAAGATTTGCTACCAACGTGTATGTGCCGGACTTGGGATGGCTTAATACATCCTCGGAAAATATGGGTGAAGCCCGTGCCTACATGCCAGGGCAAGCTAACCGTGGCTACCTGGAGATATCCCATCCAGTAGAAGGGAGGAGAGGCTCTCTCTTCTCGCGTGCTACATTCAATTTGGTTCTCGCCACCAGAGACGGACTGAACTGGGGGCTATTCGATTCATATATTGATGTCGTTATCCAGGGTCCCAAGCACGGTGGCCACTTCGAACACGGGGGGCGACTTCGTATCTTTGAGAAAAGTCGACCAGTCCTCGATAGTTAAGAGCGTAGCGATGACTGCCTGACCCCCGCTCCCCAAAATGGGTATATATGCTATGGAGAGGCTTTCGATGAATAGGTCGGAGAAGGCTGAGATATGTTGGCCTTATCTGGAAGTATGTTCCCGAACAGTTTATTTTTCAAGACACGCGTCGAGTGTGGGCATTCGGAGGATGTTTGGTTCATTTTGATAATAGTCGTCGCATGTTTGAGCATCATTCTTGTAAGATAATTTTTTCCTCTTAGCCACGAAATCTCTCCATTATCAATAACTTGAGATTATCAATTTTCAACTATCGCAGCGAATGAAGAACTTCATCTTTGAGACGAGTTCCGTCATGTGTTGTGTTCGAAATCCCCGGACTTCTTGTATAGCAGTTGTCACAACCAAGTTGTGAATTTGCGGAATACCGGGACTCATCCCGATTCAGGAGAGGAATCGCGGAGGAAACGTGCGAGGCA